TGCCTGTGAAGCTCCTGATTCCACCTTCAATTTTGAATGATAGCCTTGCTGGGTATAGTATTCTTGGATTCATTCCCTTGCTTTGCATCACTTTTGAGAAGCCAGCTGATATTCTAATAGGAGATCCCTTGTAGGTAACTTTCTGTCTCTCTCTGGCAGCCTTTGGGATTCTTACTTTCTCGTTGGTGTTTGCCAACTTAATTATGATCTGTCTTGGTGTTGGTCTTTTGGGGTTCATCTTATTTGGCGCTCTATGTGCTTCTTGGACTTGTGCAGTTTTTTTCTTGCCAGTATCAGGGAAGTTTTCTGTCATTATTTCTTCAGATAGGTTCTGAATTCTATTTCTGTTATATTGCTAGGCCAGTTTCATTTAACTCCCTTTCTGGTGATATTTTTTTCTTTGTGGTATTTTTTTGAATTCCCATGTTTTGCTGTGATGTTTTAATTGTAGATCTGATTGCTTTGCTACTCAGGTTCTTTTGGGATGTTGCTACTGGTGTGACCTCTCACATCTCCTGGGCTTGGTAGTCTAGTGTAGCTCCCTACTTGAGCTATTTGGTTTCTCTTGATGTAGGCCTGTGAGCTGGAAAGGCGCAAGTGAGGTGTCTAGAAGTCAGCAGCGTTGGAGGAGGTGTCCCAATTTTTGCTGTCTTGTACCCTTGGTTGAAATCACGCGTGCCCATTGGGGACTCACAGTGGCACCCAGGGCTGCCTGTGGAGCGGTGGTTTTGGGAGTCCTGCATGCTGGGGAAGCATGCAACTCTAGTGTCCAGAGTTCTGCAGCTGTGGAGTGGGGAAACTCGGTTTTTGCTGATGCACCTGTGGTGGATAGGCATGCGTTCCCGGTGCTGGTATACAGGAGCACCCGCAGTGAGTTTGCTAGCGCAGGTGCACTGAAGCACTCTGAAGGGCCCTGGCACGCTTAATCGAGGCCTTTGGGCAGGTATCCAGGATGGGTGAATTCAGAATTTCTACTGCCCAGGGGAGTGCGTCCCTATTTGTCCAAGATCGGACCCAGCGGAGGCTTACTGTGGCTTCCCAAAGTGCCCTGTGGATAGATGGGCTCAGGGGTGAGCAACTGTGGCAGTGCCTTTCCAGGGCGCTGAGCTCTGACGCACTCTGAGGGACCCTGGCGCTTAAGTTGCACAGCTCGGTGTGTGTGGGCAGTTATTCAGGCAGAGGGAATTCAGAATTTCTATGGGGGGGGGGGCAGTGCGCCTGTGTCTGTACAAAAATCACACCCAGGTGGGGCTCACAGTGACTCCCAAGAGAAATCTGTGGAGTGGTGTGCCTCGGAGACCTGCGTGCTGGAAACCTGCGTGCTGGAGACCGTGAATACGATGTCGGAGGTCTGCCGCTGGGGTCGGGGAGGCTGCACTTACTCCTGTGGGTGTGGTGGTCCTTTGGAGGTGGAGATCCCAGGGTCTGCGAGTCTGCGGGTGGGGCAGCAGGATTTTGGCTGGAGTGGCTGCTGGGTCTCGGGCAGTATCCCAGGCCTGTGTGGGTGGTGGTGCTGATGAGTTCCTAGAAGAGGCCGCTCTCCCCTTTAAGATGGCATGGGTTCCGTCCTTCCCCCTTTAAATAACATGTTTCAATTGGGAAAGGCAGTCTTGCCCAGCTTCTCACCCTTTGCTGAGCTGCAGAAAAGTGGCTTTGGGCCCAGAGCATTTCCTTGCAAAGAGATAAAAGAGCCCTCACAAGCCCGTGCTGGCATATGTCTTTGGGAGTCTCTTTTCCTGTTCTGGATTTGATGTGTGTGCTTTGTTCTGCTTAAGCATCATATGGCACCTACCCAACCCCACTGCTGTATCCAGGAGCTTTCACCTGCAACACAAGAGGCATACATACAGACCACCTCTCTGCATTGGCTGCAGGGTGAGACCTGCTGGCAGTGGGGGACCTGCATACATCACTTATTGAAGTGGATCTTGCTTGTCTTTTAGTGCAGTGGTCACCAACCTTTTGGACCTCATAGACTACCAGTGGTCCATGGACCACCGGTTGGCGACTGCTGTTTTAGTGCACATAAAGTGTTGTTCATGTTTTTCTTGGCAACCTGCAAACCATGGAGTGGGGTGATCTCCTGGGCTGCTGCTTCTGGTGGTGGATGTTATGCTCTTTGCTGCCCTCTACAAAATGGGACTCCTCCCCAAAGTTGGAAACAGGTGTTGCTTGCTTGACATGTTTTATACAAAAAGAGAAACTTAAAAAAAAAAAAACGGAGACAGAGATGAATAGAAGTCAACATATAGAGTTAATTAATGAGAGGTTGAAATAATAAAAACAGTAATGGTGGGAATGGAGAGAAAAATAGATTTGACCTGTATTTAGGAGGTTAAACAATACAATAGAGATTTGAAGAATTAGTGCTTAGATTTATGACCTGGGCAACTAAGTGGGTGATGGTAGTTTTGATGGTAATATGCGAGGAAGAGTATGTTTTGTGGGGAATTCTGTTTTGTTCTGTTTTGGGTATACGAAAGATTTGGCCACAGCGAGTGGACGATGATGTAGTCATCCTGGATGTTTTCACTCTCTGTGGTTAAAACCATGGTTTTATTTGAATATGATGTAGTGTGGAGATTTGTAAATAGGTGCAAAGTTAAAACTAAGTGACCTGTTGGGCATTTGACTCCCTGCTTGATGATGTAGTTTAGAAATTTCTTTTTTTAAAAAAAATACATATTTTATTGATTTCAGAGAGGAAAGGAGAGGGAGAGAAAGAAACATCAAGGATGAGAATCATTGATCAACTGCCTCCTGCATGCCCCCTACTTGGTATTGAGCCTGCAACCCAGGCATGTGCCCTTGACCGGAATTGAACTTGGGACCCTTCAGTTCGCAGGCCAACGCTCTATCACTGAGCCAAACCAGCTAGGGCTAGATTTCTTATTCTTAATCAGTGCCTGGTGTCCTTGAGTCATTTTATAGTGCCCTATTAGGCAAATGTTCCAAGTTCCAGGTCATCCATTTCATTTTCCCAGTTGTCATGAAAGAACACAATATAAAAATTTATATTGGTTTGTTACTACTTCCAAGATGCTTATCTTTTAAATGATTTTTTCCAGATGATGTCATATTAACTCAAAAGACAATATTAAGTTCTGTGTTTCAGATAAATATGTGCAGGGCAAGAATATACATTGTGAAAGGAGCCTGTGCTTTGTCAAAATTTTCCTGTTTCGTCTGCTTCTGGGCTCCATCTATTGTAAAACTCACCATAAGATTCCTTCTTAGGAAAAACACTGCATATCATGAAAATACTTTCCTGTCACATTCATTCCAATGTGCATTCCAATTCCAGAGATTCTAAAATTGGGAAAGTATGTGTCCTGGAAATAATGAAACAATTATTTTAAGTGTTTGGGTTAATTTGGAATAGTTACCATTAAAGGGGTAAATCACTAGGCCAATAAGGTGATCGCACATATAATTCTGAAGTCTCTGTTAGCAATAACAGCCTGACTTTAATTCATCAAAATTTCAAATATTGAGGCTGGTAAGGGGAATATTTGGGGGACAAATAGTATTATTAGATGTTTTAAAATTAACCGAAGCATAAAACCATGACAGTTTCTGACATAAATCGCAATTCAGACACAGTTAACTCTTTGTATGTCTATATCCTTGTTACATTATTGCTGATTAATGAAATATAATGTCTTTTTTAAAAAATTCAGGATGGATGCCACCTTGAAAGAACTGACTAGTTTAGTAAAAGAAGTCTACCCAGAAGCTAGAAAGAAGGGCACACACTTCAACTTTGCAATTGTTTTTACGGATATTAAAAGACCTGGTTATCGGTAGGTAACTTTATTTTTAGTTACTATAATGTCTTTTCCCTTTTGATATATTTTAACTGATGGGGGTAACTCTTTAGTGAATCTGATTAGTGGAAGGAATATCGATTTGTATTATCTTAATATCTGGCTTATTGTGCTGTTAAGATAATGGAGCAGATCCAGTTCCATGTTCACTGTGTAGTATGTATGGAGCTGCATGGTTTGTGAAACATTAACAGTTGGTTTCTTTCCTGCAGGGTGAAGGAGATTGGCAGCACCATGTCCGGGAGAAAGGGGACTGATGATTCCATGACCCTGCAGTCGCAGAAGTTTCAGATAGGAGATTATCTGGACATAGCGATCACCCCTCCAAATCGGGCACCACCTCCTTCAGGGCGCATGAGGCCATATTAAATTTTATTGACTATTTCTTGAGTTTATTTTCATTCAGTTATGTAAAACAAATTTACGCTTTTTCCTCCCCTTTTTATTGCCATTAAGCCTTTAAACTCTAAACAAATTGTAATGCATTTATTTAGGAGTTAGGTTTGGCTGTGCTATGGTATGAATAGTAATAGAAAGTCCATGTTTCAAGTCCTTCTATAAAATATGAAGTGCTCTTAGCATTCTATGTAAAACTGTTGTTAAATATACATGTGCAATCAACCTGAGTGTGAAAATTAATGGAGGTATGGGAACTGGGTTTGAGTATTTGGGGTTTGTGCTGAGTAGTGGAGGATAGTGAGCTTAATGTCAAGTGGGGCAGAACAAGAAAGCCATCTATACTAATAAAAGGGTAATAAGCTAATTAGGGCAGACATCCATCCAGACAGCCACAGCGGCTGCGAGGCTCTGGGCTCAGGCAGCCTTGAGCTCCAGTGGCTGTGAGGCCCGGGGCTCAGGCCTCACAGCCGCCACAGCCAGCAGTGGCAGCAGCAGCAGGGTGATGGGGGCCTCACACAGAGGAAGGCCAGACTGTGGCAGTAGGACATCCCCTGAGGGGACTGCCCCCCCCATGCATGAATTTTCGTGCACCAGGTCTCTACTAGGATTATATTAAACTAGAGGCCCGATGCACAAAATTCATGCAAGAGTAGGCCCTCCCCCAGATGCCAGCACTGGCTTCCCTCAGGCCGCCAGCAGGCACTCGGGACCTGGGCTTCCCTTGCAGCCCTGGTTTCATCCGGAAGGACATATTATGCTTTTATTGTTATAGATAGCATGAGTTTGTGGCCTAGACAAGGGTGTGGAGTTAGAAAAAAGATCTCTGTGCCTGAGCATGGCAGCAGAGGCATTTTGGAAGTTTGAGCTGATGCAACTTGAAGAACCTTGTGATTGAAGAAATCGGCCTGCCTGAGTCATGGCACAGTCAAAATACAACTCTTCATAAAGCTAGAGAAGAGAATGGGTGCCACAGTGAGGGCTTTTTATGTTTTAAAGATGGGGAGGACAGGAAGCAGGGTTAGAACTTAAGGTAAACCTTCCACCCTTATCCTGAAGAAAATCTGAAAATGGAAGAGGAATCAAGGCCAAGTGAGAAGTGCCAGGAATGAGGTCAAGTTGGGTAAGGGATATTCACACATCCTGCTAAATGCTTATAAGTGAAGACAGTCGTCTCCCCTTCTCTGTCGGGGACACTTTCCAAGATTTCCAGTGGATACCTAAAATACCAGAGAGTACTGAGCCCTATGTATACTGTCTTTTCCTATACATTCATACCTGTGATAAAGTTTAATTGGTAAACTAGGGAGAGTATGAGATTAATAACCATAACTACTAATAAATAGGACAGTTGTAATGTACTGTAATAAAGTTATGTGAATGTGGCATTATTAAGTAAAATATGGGTTACTTGAACCTAAGCACTATAATTGATAACTGAGAAATCAGCTGATACACTCGACAAATGTCAGCCATTATTTAACTTTTTGTTTTTTTATTGATTTCAGAGAGGAAAGGATAGAGATAGAAACATCAATGATGAGAGAATCATTGATGGACTGCCTCCTGCATGCTCCCTACTGGGGATCAAGCTCATAACTTGGGGTTATGCCCTGACTGGGAAATGAATTGTGACCTCCTGGTTCATGTGTTGATGCTCTCTACCACTGAGCCACGTTGGCTAGGCAAAGGTCAGTCTTAAAATCTTGTCATGCTGTGGAATTGGCCTCTCTGCTGCAAAGTAAGTTAACAGGTAGCAAAGGTAAGCCTGGAACTAGATCCAGTGTCTTCTTTTTTGTTAATCCTCACCCAAGTATATTTTTCCATTGACTTCCAGAGAGTGGAGGGCGGGGGAGAGAGACAGAGAGAAACATGAGAGAGACATCAATTGGTTGCTTCCCGCACATGCCCTGACGGGCCAAGGATTGAGAGGTACATGCCCTTGACCAGAATTGAACCTGGGACTCTTCAGTCCACAGGCCAATGCTCTATCCACTATGCCAAACTAGCTAGGGCTCCAGTGCCTCTTATACATTAGTTTACCCCAAACCAACTTTATATATATAGATAGATTTCAGAGAGGGAGAGAGAATTATTGATTGGCTGCCTCCTGCATGCCCCCGACTGGGGAACGAGTCCCAACCAGGAATCAAAACTGCAACCTCCTAGTTCATAGGTCAACACTCAACCACTGAGCCACACCAGCTGGGCCCCTTTGGAGTTTTGAGTTCTAACACATCCATCCTATATAATAAAAGGCTAATTTGCAAATTGTTTCCAGGGGCAGGAGTTTGACCGACCATGAATTAGATGTGCGCGGGCCACCAGCGGGTGGCGCAGAATATGGCAGGCATCAGCAATGAGGCGCTGCTGGCCCCAACGGGCCTCAATGAGAGCAGGACTGTGATGGGATGGTGGAACAGATGAGGGGGCGGGGCCCCGACTGCCTCACCAGTTGCCCCACAGATAGGCCCATTGCCGGCCAGGCCTAGGACCCTATCCCTCTAGTTGTCTATAATACCATCTCAGTTTTCTCAGCGGGTACATGAACTTGGTATTTTCAATAACAGTAAATTCAATGAACCCAGACTATCTCAGTACTTAAACCCAAATTTTAAAAAACTGTCTTTGTGAAACTGAAGGCAACACCCTAAAACTAAGCTTATCATAGTTACAGTTTTGAGTGCTTAGCTGTGCCAGATTCTGTGCTAAGGAACTTACTGTGAATTATCTCATTTACCTTCATTGAGCTACAATGACTAGTTTCCAACCTGCAGATGAAATTAAGACCTGCTTTAATAGGTCACAAGGGAGGCAAATAAACCTATGTAACCAATAATAGATGAATTGAAACTATGTTTCCAAAAAATAGTGTTCTTTCATAGTTTCTCTGACCAACTCACTGCAGTCTTACATCCACTCACACTACAGTGACACTGCTCCAGTAGGGAAGTTATCCTCTGCATTGTAAATTTCAGTTAAGAGACCTAGAGTTGTGGACCTGTTTTAGTTTGGGTTTTTTAAAAATATATATTGATTTTTTACAGAGAGGAAGGGAGGGGGATAGAGTTAGAAACATTGAGAGAGAAACATCAATCAGCTGCCTCCTGTACACTCGCTACTGGGGATGTGCCTGCAACCAAGGTACATGTCCTTGACCGGAATTGAACCTGGGACCCTCAAGTCTGCAGGCTGACACTCTATCCCTGAGCCAAACCAGCTACGGCGTGGTCGGCAAACCATGGCTCTCGAGCCACATGTGGCTCTTCCTAAGCCTTAGGAGTACCCTAATTAAGTTAATAACAATGTACCTACCTATATAGTTTAAGTTTAAAAAATCTGGCTCTCAAAAGAAATTTCAATCATTGTATTGTTGATATTTGTCTCTGTTGACTAATGAGTTTGCCAACCACTGGGCTAGGCCTGTTTTAGTTTTTATACAAACCAGAACACCACTCTTAAAGATATGGTCACGGCTCACAGTTTGAGGAACCATATGAATCGTGTTACTGTATTTTATTGCTTAGAAATAGGTAGTTTTGTCATAGCTGTAGTAATTACTTGGAGTCTGCATGATCAAGCCTAAAGGAAGAATGTTTATTCTGTTACGATTAATCACGACTAGGCAGCTATTCTGTTTTACTTTTATTGTTTTCAGAGAGGAATAGAGAGAGAAACATCGATGAGAGAGAAATCACTGGTTGACTGCTTTCTGTCGGACACTGGGGATTGAGCCTACAACCCAGGCATGTGTCCTGACTGGGAATTGAACTGTGACCTCCTGGTTCATAGGTCGACACTCAACCACTGAGCCACACCAGCCGGGCAGGCAGCTATTTGTTTATGTTTTATGTGTTTTTTTAATCCTCACCAGGGGATATTGTTCCATTGATTTTTAGAGTGGGAGAGGGGAGAGTCAGAGAGAAACTTCAATGTGAGACACACTGATTGCTTGCCACCTACATGCACCCCAACCATGGCTTAATATTGAGCCTGCAACCCAGGCATGTGCCCTTGACTGGAATCAAACCTGGGACCCTTCAGTCCACAGGCCAAAGCTCTATCCACTGAGCCAAACCAGCAAGGGCTAGGCAGCTACTAGTATTCTATGAAGAGTGTCATGGATTCTCCCCTGCCCGTAATCTGAGAGGAATAAGCTAAAACCTAAAAGGGAATTTTAAGAGTAACATTTGTCCTTAAAATTTTTTTAATAAGCAATAACCATAAATCTGGGAGTGATATGAACATTTATTGTGTAAAGGTATATTAATTACATACCCACCTCCTGTTGGGAGGAGCCAATGAAATAGTGCTTAGGAGTGCCTGAGAGTGAATGTTCAATAAATACCTATTTAAAAAGAAAAAAAGGCATTCATAGCCCTCTCGATGTGCCTTCAGAATTTCCTACCCTACCCAGGCTGGCCAGCCCAGTCATAACCATTTCCTAAGAAAATTTTAAGTAAGATTTGATGAAATTAGAGCAATTTAAATTATGAACAAAGTAAACCAAAGGCATTTTTAAAATCTGTAAATCCTATAGTAATTATTGGAAACCATCAGAATTTGTAGTATTTCTGACTACCGCTCACACTTTCTAGTATTTTGCCGGGGGGATAATATATACATACATATATATGTAATACACACACACACACATAGATATATATATATATATATACTAGAGGCCCGATGCAGGAAGATTCGTGCAAGAATAGGCCTTCCATCCCCTGGCTGCCAGCACTGCCTTTGCTCTGGCCCGGAGGCCCAGAGCGGCCAGAGCAGGATGGAACGCCTGCATTGTTGCCATGGGGATGAAGCAAGCAACCCAGCCCGGCCACCGCCATCTTTGTCATGCCAATTTGCATATTCGCTCCTTATTGGCTGTGAGCACCGCCATCTTTGTTGCAGTGACGGTCTATTTGCATATCCCATCTTTATTAGCTAGGACACACACACACACACACACACACAGTGGCCAGATTATTATGACCATCTGATGTTTGTAGGCAAATTAGCTATAATTTCACACTGAAGTTGCTAGAGGGCCAGACCATTATAAATAGGGAAGCAGGTTGTTTACCACGACATAAGTGATTTTTTTCTGAAGATATGGGTAAACAATTATATTTAACAGCCTTTGAACATGGGATATATTTGAATGTGAGTGGACAGATTATTATGACCACCTGACATTTGTAGGCAAATTAGCTGTAAACTGCATCATATGGGATATGGAAGCTGAAGGCCTGTTTGAACACTTTTGCTGTCTGCAGTTACCAAGAAAAAAAACCAAGAATTGGACAGTCAAGCATTGGAAAAAGTCATGTGGTCCTATGAATCACATTTCCAGTTGCATCATGCAGATTGCAGAGTGAGAATTTGGTGGAAACAGCATGCACCCCACATGCATGAGTACAAACAACCCTTCAAGCTGGTGGGGGCAGTGTTCTGGTTTGGGGCATGTTGTCCTGATATGATTTGGGCCCTTTAAATCTCACAGAACTGGACAGTGCTATTCATCAGGCATGGTGTCAGATTCCTTGCATCACCTTTCAACATCTCATGGAGTCAATGCCAAGAAGAATCGCTGCAGTATTGAAGGCAAAAGGTGGCCCAACAAAGTACTGCTGGGGTGGTCAAAATAATCTGGCCACTCAGTGTGCCACACACACACACCCATCCCACATTCAAAGGCTGTTAAATTGCATTGTTTACCCATATCTTCAGAAAAAAATCACTTCTACTGGTAAACAACCTGCTTCCCTATTTATAATGGTCTGGCTCTCTAGCAACTTCAGCGAGAAATAGCTAATTTGCCTACAAACATCAGGTGGTCATAATAATCTGGCCACTCAGTGTATATATATATAAACTGAGTGTCTATTATGTAACAGGTTCTGTGGGCCTAGAGAAACATAAATATGGTATAGATACAGATCCTTCCTCATAGTCTTAGTCTCATAATGAAAGGTTTAAACACATGGTAAGAAGTTTATGAGAAGTTGCTACTGAAGACAGCACTTGAGCTTGTCCAACTCCTAAAGGGTTGGATTTATACTCCCATTACAGGGTGTAACCTGAACAAAGACATGCAAGTAGGGAATGTCAGTGCTTATACCACTCATGGAACACTCATGTACTAATTTTGGCCAAATTCAGGATAAAGAGGGGACACATACCAGAGATGTTGGAGGCCATCAATAAGATTTAGGGTGGACAATGAATGGGATATAGAAAAGCCACCATTTCCTCATCTGGAAAATACCTATTTCAAAGAATTAATCTAAGAATTAAATAGGTTAATAAATATTTAGGACCATGCCTAGCATGTTTATTTACTGTTATCAGTCCCCAGCACACCATCAAAAATTAATCAGTTCTGACAATGTCATCTATTTTATTACCAAGTCCAACAGTCAGTTTTGTCTCTTTTATACTTACAATATACTAGAGGCCAGCACACGAAATTTGTGTGTGGGTATGGTCCCTAGGCCTGGCCTGCAATCAGGGCCCTCTTCCCTGGCTGCCCGCAGCCAGCCCCGCCACCCACCCCAGTTCCCCATCAGGTGATTGTAGCCTGCAGGCCGAGGGGAGAAGAGGTCAGCCATTCTGCCCACTCGCCAGCCCTGCCCCCGCCGCGGGTTGCTCTGTGTGTGTGGGGTGACTGGTGGGGCGGAGGCCTTGGCCTGCCACCAACCCCCGGTTCCCCGTTAGCCATTGGGCAATTTGAGCCTGCCAGCCGGAGAAAGGAACCAAGAGGTGGTCAGTGCGCCTCAGTGACTGGTCGAGCAGTTGTTCTGGTCATTCTGCTGTTAGGGTCAATTTGCATATTACCCTTCTATTACATAGGATTCTCAGCAATACTGACAGGATCAATCACTCTCCTTGAAATCCTTCCTACTTAATGGCCTCTTCTCAATCTCCTTCCCTAGATTGATCTACCTCTTCTCATCCTCTAATGTAGAAGTCCAGGATTCAGTTTTAGTATTCTGGATACCTCCCTCCCTTAGCAATCCACTCATCTTATGCATTTCTGTCCATGCAGTTGTGGTGAATAGTTAAAGGTTAATAGAAATTTGGGAAGTCATCATCATCTGTAAGGTGACTAGAGCTTTACCTTGAACTAAAACTAAGTATTTTGAAAATAATTTATTTTACATATTTAACAAAAATTACAACTACACAGTAATTCCTAGAACACGGAATAAGTCAAGTTTTGTTTTAATGACTATTTTCTGACAAAATGAAGAGAGCAAGTCTTTACATTTGACTTTCAAGGCACAGTCACAGAAGAGGGTACTCTACCACATCAAATTCCCCAAAGCTAAGCCAGTGAAGCACCTTGTCATTATACACTAGGTCCTTATTTTCCCATTGGCCATCTGAAATGTTTGCCAAAGTACTTTTATGGACTTAATTAGATAAGATTACTTTTCAGTTATACTTAAATGGGAAGGATCTTGGGCCTGATGGACAGGGCAGTGGGAAGCTATTAGATAGCTCTCGACACATTCAGTCTCCTTGTTACTGTGGTCACAGTTAACATTCCAGAGAAGCACACCTGGCCCAGGAAATCACCAGAATCTTCCAGAAAGGCCTTAGGGTTGGTGGGTAGCCACTGAAGTGGAACTTGGAGAGGTCAGCAGCCATGTGGGGGAAACAGCTGAGTTGAGAGGATGAAACGGACACTAAGCAAAAAGTTGGAAGGAAAAAAGAAGGAAAAAAACCCCCAAATTGACAGCCGGTGATTTCATTTGAGACCTACTACAGTGCAGATGTCCTGGTCTGTAAATTCTCCTTTTTCTAAATTAAGCTGTCATTTGTAAACTGTTTTAAAAGAGCAATGTGAGTATGTTACCAAATAAAAGGTATAAGAGACTGGGAGGAGACAGGAGAAGGGCAGTTAGGGTTAAGAAGCCTGCTCTTGCAGACAGCAGGAACTACCCAGCTCAAAGAAGACTGGAGGTAGCCTTTTTTCTTTAGCATAGAAGGGAGAGACAGAGACAGAGAAATATGGATGTGAGAGAAACATCGACTGGTTGCCTCCCACACATGCCCTGACGGAGATGGAGCATGTAACTGAGTTATGTGCCCTTGACCAGAATTGAACCCCGGACCCTTCAGTCTATAGGCTGATGTTCTATCCCGAGCCAAACCGGCGAGGGCTGGACATAGCCTTACTTGAATAGCAAACAGTAACACTTAAAATTTAAAAGTTATTGATCCTGCTTCCTAGTAATTACTTAATCCATGATTAGATTAGGTAGGGTAAATTTGAGATCAGTGAAATAGTAATGATATTTAAAAACAATAAGTGAGTTGCAGGTCAAGATTTAGGTTAAAGTAAATCAAAACTTAAAAAGCAAATTATGATATCAGTATCCAAATTCATTTTTGATATGGATTGATTTTTAGAAAGGGAGAAACGGGAATGTGAAAACAAAGTAAGTCCAGCTTTGATTTCATCTCATTCTGTTCAGTTTCTATTAATGGACGGATGGATCCACTAGGATTTCTGCAAAAAGATCAAATAAATATCATGTAGGTATAATTAATAGCAATCAACAAAACAAATGATACAACATTGTGGTTATATATTTTTACACTTTATATATAAAATAGTTGGGAATAATTCTGAATGATATTATCTAACTTGATATTGTGTGAGTCAGGTATAGGGATCACAAATTCTATATTGAGAAAGACATAAGCTGTTAACCCAAGCTGCCAAATGTCAATTAAAATTTTGTTCCTACCATTCAAGTGTTAATTTTCAAATGTTCTCTTCAAATGACACATGTACTTTCTTTGGAATGGTAACATACTCACTTTCACCAGTTTTCTTGTTGCCAACATCTCAGATGTTCCATCCTTCACATCTAGTAAAGAATGCTTTGCTGGGTGGCATGCCTTAACTGCTACTGGAGTGGTAGCTAGGTTTGGGTTGTATTTTGATAAAATCTAAAAAACAAGCAAATTCCTTTTTATTAAGTCATATGAACAACATAAATTTGGAAGGTGTTATAAAACTCAAGAAAACCCAAGGAAAATTAGAGGGTATGGGTTGTTTGAAACAGTAAGAATTTTTTAGCAGCACAGACAGACGTTTAACATCACAGAAATGATGGCAATATTAAAAATTTAACTTGGGTGTGGAGGCTTGATTACTAAAGCCTTCTAAAATGTACACTAAGGATAATGGAAACAAGCAACGTGTCCCTGTGAACAAATTAAGCCTTTATAAAGATGTTAGGAAAAATATATATAGGAAAGAGGCAAAATAAATGCTAAAAAAAGATCACGTTATATAGATTATAAAAAGAATTTGAAATATCAACTATGATTGTTTTCATACATAAAGAAGTGACACATTAAATACAAGATTTCCCTCTTTTACCATAGAAATAAAAAGGGAAGTGGAACTCTATATAATGCTTATAGACAAAAACTGCTCCTTCTCACTCTATTATGATGCCCAGAAAAAAACCCCAGAAAAGCCAGAGAGAGGAGAATAATGAACCCTTTACTTATATGTTAGGATGAGTCTGTTCCAATGGCATTTAGGTTTTTTCCCAAGTAGTTTTTTATCTTTCTCATAGCTCTCCATAAGCTAGGAAGGTTGCCAGAATAACCATTGCCAAACACTACAACTCCTTTGGGGGAGTAGAGGGGGAAGTGGAAGAACCAGACTGGTGGTTATTTAGATTTGGCAGTTGCTATAAATCAGTAGTTTAGTAGTAAATGATGTTTTACTAAAGAATTAGAAATTCTAAATCAGTGTTTCTCAAGTTATTTATGATACCCATCTCTGAAGAACTGTAGGATAAATGACATTCCTTACTTGGGCAGCAACACCTCCCATGGAAATAGTGGTCAACATGACCATCACAGGTGAACAATTGAACTATTAGAATACATTACAAGAATACATTTCTGAACTTGAGGTTAAAGAGAAAATGCCCCAAGGGCATAAAAATATGATGATGTCACTAGCTTCTGCTCAACTCAGAAGAACCTTAACCAGGTAGTGTCAGAAAAGTCCTAGCAGCCCAGAATTTAGATTTTCTCAATACCCAAACCAGCACATAGCCCAATAATAAGTAACAGTTTACATCAGAGATTACATGAATATCTAACTTTGAAAAAGATGTATCAGAAAAAAACAACAACAAAAAAACAGCCTGGAAAATAACCTGGAGAATGTCTTCTGGAATTGTAGTTACTTTTGGAGGTGTAGGTGTTCTGAGCAGATTCTCATAAGAAGAAATCACAGGGGAAGAGGAAGCTTCCGCACAGCTCTCAAAGCACTTGTCTGAGTTTAAAACTAACGTATAGTCTTTCATTTCCAAATCATTTGATGAACTGTTTGTTTTTGATAATGGATAATCTGTGGATACCTAATGAATAAAAATAAATCATTAAATTATGGTGGTATAAAATAATGGAAAAGAAAAATTGTCAATTGTTAGTTCTGTTGGGGTCCTTAAATAGGCCAGAAATCGCCCCCTCTTCCCAATCAAGTATTAAATAAAATCAAGAAAACAAAGAAATGGCATATGGAGGACAAAGTACCACCTTCATTACCAACAAAGGCTGAGCTACAGCTTAATATGAAAAATGGACTGAATCCCAGATTTAGATGATTCACCCCTCCCCAGTCTCAGGCAACTAACTGGGCTAGATGAGAGTCACAGCACGAAGGAATGGGCAAATTACCACAGGCCCTCACCCCCAAGAGGGAGAAATATTTGACGGAAACCCAGCATTTTGTTTCTCTACAACTACAGTGTCCAACACAGAAGCTACAACCATCTGGGGTTGTTTAAACTTAATGAAATGAGTAAAAATTTAAAAACTAAAAATTAGTTCCACAGATGCACTTGCCACATTTTATGTGCTCAGTAGCTGGCTGTGACTAATAACTACCATACCGAACAGCACAGAATATAGTACATTTCCATCACTGTAGGAAGTTTTATTGAACAGCCTGGTCTACCATATGGGTTGTCTTAAATATTCATACCAACTTTACAACAGAATGAGGTTTTGATAATAGTAAATTTGTTCACTAGGGAAAATTTGGGGGAAAAAAGGGGAGGGCAATAAAAATCACCCATAAATAACCACATTTTGGTGTGTTTATATTCATTCTTTTTCCTTAAAATGTAGTAGTCCCACCTTATCCACAGGAGATATGTTCCAACACCCCCAGTGGATGTCTAAAACCCTAGATAGTACTGAACCCTACATATACTGTTTATTCCTATACATACATACCTATAATAAAGTTTAATTTATAAATCAGTTACAATAAAAGATCAATAATAATAAAAAAGCAATTCTAACAATATACTATAATAAAAGTTATGTGACTTGAACACAAGCACTGTGATACCTTGACAGTTGATCTGATAACTGAGATGGTCGCTAAGTGACTAACAGGAGGGTAGTATCTACAGTGTGGACATGCCAGACAAAGGAATGATTCATATATCATATGGAGCAGGAGGATGAGAGATTTTATAACTCTACTCAAAGGAGAATAACTGAAAACTCATGACTTGTTTAATTCTGGAAATTTTCATTTAATATTTTCAGATTGCAGTTGACCACAGGTAACTGAAACCACAGAAAGCAAAACCACGGATAAGAGAGGACAACTGTATGCATGTGTATCTGTACATATACATACATGCCACTTTCCATATCATTAAATATCTGAACTCATTGTTTTTATATGTTCTTATATGTTTTTTAAAAACATGATAGTTATGCAACACTGGACCTTACTGACATACCTTACTGTATCTTGCTTTTTTCTACCATTTGACATTTAGATTGTTTCCATGTTTTGCATTAATGATAATTTGCTATAACAAATCTGTCCCAGTGAGCTTTAGAATAAATTCTGAGACATGTTTAAAAGGTATGAAAAAATTTAAAGCTCTTAATATATGCTGCTAAATTACCCTCCAGAAGTATATGGTAAGTATACAACTAAAGTCTGTATTATTCTAACTTTTTAAACAGACTGAGTCAAGAAGTAATCGTGTATCTGAGTCATTTAGAACAAAATTAGAGCTTTTAATTTTATGAAAATTTACCAAAGCTGTTCCGTTCTTTGTAGAAGGAATTTTCAAACCAGGAGTACAGAATGTAGGTGCCAAGGGAGACTTTGTATATTCATCATCTAGAAGACACATACAATCACGTGAAAATAAATATTTGAAAATAAAGTTGAAATACAGATTTCAACTTTTAAGTTATAATCCTTGTCAATATAATTTGTGTATATATATATATATATATTTTTTTTTTTAAATATATATTATTGATTTTTTACAGAGAGGAAGGGAGAGGGATAGTTAGAAACATCGATGAGAGAAAAACATCGATCAGCTGCCTCCTCGCACACCTCCTGCTGGGGATGTGCCCGCAGCCAAGGTACATGCCCTTGACCGGAATCAAACCCGGGACCCTTCAGTCTGCAGGCCGACGCTCTATCCACTGAGCCAAACCGATTAGGGCTGTGTATATTTTTTTGATAACTTAAATTATAACTAACATCTGCTTAGTTAGACAGGAAAAGATCAAAACTCATATCACATATCTAATGATCACTAGTACTAACAGAAGTTCAGCAAGGCACAAGTGCCATATGTAAAAATGAATAATTCTAGCATAAGAGTAAGAAACAAAACTATAATTTGAAGAAAGGTATTTTTCACTATTGCAACAAAATTAGAGCAAGATACCTATATATAAACCTATTAACAACTGTTTAAGATCTTTATGGAGAAAATCAAATTTCTGGAAAAAAAAAAAAAAGGAGAAAGAAGGCCAGGAAGTCGCTTGCTGTCCAAGATATTATGAACAGAACTATGCATATACATGTATTTGATATCTATAATACACACTCTCATGAAAGCAATCTTTAAAAAATACCAAGGAGAAACTGTGAACATGTTAGAAAAGTGATCATCAGACTGGCAAAATTTGACTAGGTCTAAATATCATTAAGTCCTGGAAAAGATAGAGAAACAGTAACCCAAACACTGCTTGGGGGCATAAAAGCCACCTTCAGGGCAATTTAGCATCTTAGAGTAAGTGAAGGTTTGCATCCCCTTTCATCTAGAAATTCTACTACTAGAGTGAGAAACACATGTGCATAGGCATAATTTTCATTATAGCACTGTCTTGTAATAGTAAAAAATAAAAACAACTCAATGTCAATAAAATGGCTTATTCATACAGTGGAACACTACCGAACAATTAAAATGTATGAACTGCCCTAGCCGGTTTGGCTCGGTGGATAGAGCGTTGGCCTGCGGACTGAAGGGTCCCGGGTTTGATTCCAGTCAAGGGCACATGCCTGGGTTGCAGGCTCAATCCCCAGTAGGGGGCATGCAGGAGGCAGCCAATCAATGATTCTCTCTCATCGATGTTTCTCTCTCTCTTTCCTCTCCGAAATCAATAAAAATATATGTTTTTGAAATCCTCACCTAAGGAGAACCGAAGATGGCGGCATAGGTTAACGCCGGAGATTGCCACCTTGAACAACCAATTCAAATTAAGCTTGAACCAGGGACCCACAAAATCCAGAAACACAGGCGGGCTGGCTGAGTGGAAATTCTACAACTAGGAGTAAAGAGAATATTATATCCAGACTCAGAGGGGCCGCAGTGCTGAAGTGAAATTCTCAGGTACCGAGTGCACGGAGCGGGGCTGGCGGCGCGGAGGGCGCGATTGTAAACAATCGGGAGGGAGTCGCAGACTTTGAGCTCCAGATCCGGGCGAGTCGCTGGGGACGCAGATTCAAACGGGAGAGGGAGGACTGTCTGGGC